GGTGTGTGATGTTTTTTCGTTTCGTAGTGTGTTGTTTTTTTTTTTTTTTTTTTTTTTTTTTTTTTTTAACCCAGCATGTCTGCTCTGAGAAGTTTATAGTGTAATTGAAAAGAGGGTCATGTGTTAAAGGGGGAAGAAGGTGAAAGGGAGTGTAAGGAGAGTAGCTGGAGCAAGTAGGAAAATTAAATGTTTAGTTCTTAGAATGTGGGAAGAAAACTGCAAGTGTCACGTCAGCCTAAAGGAAAGCATGAGGAGTCATCGTCAGCTACCCCAGCCCCAGGGGGGAGAGAGAGGGAAGAAGGGGAGGCTTTGAAAACCCACATGAGAGTTATCTAAAGGATGTTAACTGCAGGAGAAATGGGTTTCAGGAATAATACTGAGAAGATTTCGGCATTACTTTTACCTCAGAATGGCAGTTTCAGCTGATGCATAAATTTGTGCGTCCCACCCTGGGAAATTGACTCCAAGCCGTATCTGCTCTCTCGCTTCCTCCCTTACCTTGGCTTTTGCCTTGAATTTTCAGAAACCTCCCTGCCGCATTCTGTTCAAAGCATAGTGCCAAGATTTTGCTGTATGAGAATAATTTTAACTCCTGAGAAGGCTGGTAAGGAAATACAGACAAAAATAACATGGCAGGAAGAATCTTCCTCAGAAAGGATTAAAAAACAGCCTTTGCGGAAGGAGCTTTTGGTGTGTTGTGCCTGTACGCAACCTGCGTTTCCACATGACTCTGTGTGATGGAGGCTGTTGTGCCTTTCAGGTGTGGGATCCACAACATGTTCCCTTTACACTTGGCAGCGCTGAATGCTCACTCAGACTGCTGCCGGAAATTGTTGTCATCGGGTGAGTACACACCGCCGTGGCCGCGGAGCTCGGGTAGTGTGTGTCTCTCCTGCTTACTGGCCCCCTTTATGCTCGTCGTCGCGAATTGTCCGAGCAAAAGGCTTCCTGTGCTGCTGTGTTCGGCTCTGTGGCGTGGCGGACGGGAGCGCGCGAGGCCTTCCTTCCAGGGAAGTGGTCGAGTCCCCATCCCTGGAAGTATTTAAAAGACAGGTAGATGAGGTGCTTAGGGACATGGTTTAGTGGTGGGATGGCAGGGTTAGGTTAGAGGTTGGGCTTGATGATCTTAAAAGGTCTTTTCCAGCCTAAATGATTCTATGATTCCTAACGGCATGCTGGTACTCCCTGGATTGCTCACGCCCCGGGCCCTTTGCTCCTGGCAGGTTCAGAGAGTTTATATTAATTCACTTGGAAAAGGGAGGAAGTTTAGGACCCTTTTCCAAATTGTAAGAATGTGAGACGCCATTTTGGTTTGGTTCTGCCCTCTCTCTTCCCTCTCCCCCCCCCCCCCCCCGCAAAGGAATAATTCAGGAAATTATCTCTTGGGGCCTACACTGGCGCAAGTATTTACATCTCACTGACAATGATGTATGTTAGATAACACAGCATGTTACTGAATTGGCCAGAGTAAAGGAGTTTAGGCCGGCCAAAGCTCTGTGGGCACTAGAGGGGGAAGGAGTGTCGTAGTGTCGAGAGAGCAATCCCCACCAGACCCCAAAGCAGGAGTTCGCTGGTGCAGCCGTTTCAAAGGAGGCAGTAATCAGGTGCCAAATCCCAAATTCTTTTTTTCCAGGCAAGAGTACCCATGAGTTAAAAAAACACAACGCAGATTATATCCTTTTTCCAGAAAATTGCTTCATAGCTTAACATGTAAAATCTCCTACTCTTTTTCCTCTAAACTCGAGTCCTAGGCTACAAAAAAAAGTGTGGAAAAACAGCAATTACATACTACATTGCGTTAAACCTTGGTGCGCTCTGGCCTTGACCACTAGATCAGGAAGAAAGAGTTAAAAGCTCTGGGTGATCAGAATTAATACTGCCAGGCCTTGTGCATCTCGATGAATATCCCTGCGTGCTCCTGGAAGCCTCTTTCCAACCTGAAAACCACACGCCATAAAAATGGCCCCTTGTCATGTGCAGGCTGACTCTGTGGTTTTTTCCTCATTTCTTCATGTTTTCTGTCTTCATGTCTTTCTACTGTTGCAGTCCTCTTGATAAGTATCTGCCTCACAAATGCCTGTCACATGGTTTTAAATCGGGATGTGGTGCAGAGCGGGATGCGGAAATAGATGCTCATCGACTTTGCAGCTCTTTTTATAGCGCTGCCAAAGAGAAGCAGCCGCTCGCCGTTCCCGTGACAACCTCTTTCTGACTGTAGTTGCTTGCGTTCTGTTTTTTTCCAACTAACTGATTTTTCTGTCTCTGCAATGTTTCTTGTGGTTTAACTAGGACAAAAGTATAGCATAGTGTCCTTGTTTAGTAATGAGCACGTGCTGTCTGCAGGCTTTGAAATAGACACCCCTGATAGTTTTGGAAGAACCTGCCTCCACGCTGCCGCTGCAGGAGGGTGAGTAGCTGCGAATGTAGCTGTTGTAAGTTATTTTGTGGCTTTGTTGCAGATTTGGTGCCAGCCAACTTGACCATGCCATCCACAGAGGAATTTATTGTGGTGCAAGGGATTCAAAGCAGTCTGATGTCAAATTTTGGTCACTTGAGGCTGTCTTTTCCCACTGTCCTCATGTGGGGCTGCTTGCAAAGTACAGGAGGTGGTCTGATGCCCTCTGCCACCAACAGCTGGGTTTCAGGCGTAGGGTAAAATTACCCTTCCTTTTCATGCCCCTGTGAAGACTGCTTCAGCTTTGGGTGGGGAGTGCTGCACACTCACCCAGGTCTGTCTGATGGCCACAATGGTTGCTGAGGGCCAGCAGGCAGCAGGAAATCCCCAATTTCTAGGGCAAACTGAGTGAGGAGGAGGAGCTGTGGCTCTTGGGATGCTGCTGGCAGGGGAGTTATTCCTGGCCTCCACCTTTGGACTGTGTCCTTGTCTGAAAATGCAACTACGCAACAGTGCCCATCAGATTGCAACCCTCGAGTCCAAATGCAACTCATCTCCCTCTCTCCCATTTCTCAGGTGCAAGTTTAAAAGTTTCTAAAAAAACCAACAAACCAAAACAACAACAAAAAACCAACCCAAAACTCAACAATCAACCCCCAACCTCTAAATTAGGAAGTCAAAAGACTGTTGTTCTCTCAGAGTGATGCATTCCCCATAAGTGCTGGGAGGCCAGAAATGGAAACTGAAATACATCAATTTAAGTTGTAAATGTAGCATCCAGTTAGTTTAAATATTTCCAAATAATTGTCAGTGGACTGCTGTGAAGTTAACCTAGCAAAAGGAGAAAACATTTGGCAAGCATTGAATTTTGACTCTTCTGTTGAGGACCTTATGGCTCAGAAAACAGCTGAAATAGAGCCTTGGCTAGAACCCAGCTTGGATTCTCTGTGGTTATAGCAAGCAGAAATGGTCATCCACAGCAGATACCTGGCACTCTTTCTGGAAGTTGTTTTTATTTCTCAGTGGACCAAAATGTATAGCACAAAGTTTTCATTATTACAAAAAACTAATAAAATTGATCCAAATAGTGTTTTTATTATTCTTACAATATTTTTCTTCTTGATACTTATATCATATTAATAGAGGAGTTATGACTGTTGCTTGGATGGAGATTATTATAGTTCAAATACTACCTCTTTGATAAGGCTGTACACCAAAAGAATAATAAAAACAACCTGGAAGCCCTAAAGGAGAAGGAGGGGCTTTTTAAGAAGCAAAAGTGGCTCATGAAAATAAACCATATTTTTTCCAGTGGTTTACTACAATTGTCATCACTAACAAGTGTTTTTATTTTTAGTACATTGTGGTGAGTGTTGTGTAGCTATTTTATGCAATAGCAATTTAGAACAGGGATGAACATATGCCAACATACTGCATCCAGTCTTTTTTTTTTTTTTCTTTCTGGGGCTGGAGCTATACAAAAGGCATTATTTTTTTTCCTGACACATGCCTGTTACTCCCATTACATTAATGGCAGTTGCATGGATAGTAGGAAAAGAACACACTTCAAAGGCCTGCTCATCTGATTGTGTACACAAATGATTTATTGCCCCTGTTGAATGACAAGGAGTCTTGGAAAGTGCTGTGCTTCTTTACCTCATTTTCTGGCTTGGAGTCATACCTTTATTCATTTGAATTACAAAAGATGTCAGAATTCAGCTGGTTTATTTTCTATTAAAAATCAGCTGGCTTTAAACAAGAGGAAGAAGCAGCTATGATGTGGTGAATTCTTTCAACAGATACAAAGCAATGGCGCCCAACTCATCCCCTTATATAAACGCAATATTGATATGACAATCACTCTAAACAGCTATGCCCCTTATTCAACAAAGCACTTAGAGATGCACTCAAATCTGTCAATAGTCAACAAATCATACGAGAATAAACCTAAAAGTAACTCCTGTGATTGAATCTCACTAAGTAAACAGGATTTGAGCAAAGTGCTTACTGTTGGATGCTTTGCTGGACGGGGGTGGATTTCGTTAAATGTCACCTCTTCATTATTAGACTGGCATTTTGTAAGCTAGCAACAACTTTCTTTTAAAGTTCTCTTATAAAATACCAGTTCAGTGGGGGAAGCATTAGAGTACAGCTCCCATTGAATATCTCTAAACACACTGAATTCAGATCACATTTACTGTGCTCTCTTTGGAAAATTGTAATTTCTTCTTCTGCAGAAGAGAAGTTAGAGATTTTCTAGAACAAAAGGAAATAGTTTTTTAAAGCTTCATTTTCTGTTTGATTGAATTTCTCATTGTAGTTGGCTGTACGGCAAATAATGCAAAAATCATTAGAGTAACTTTTTCCTTTTTGGGTTCAGGGGGCAACACAGATATAAACTTCTGTTTTGTTCATGTTTTGTTTTCTTTACTTCTCTTTCCAGTAATGTTGAATGTATAAAACTCTTGCAAAGCAGTGGAGCAGATTTTAATAAAAAGGACAAATGTGGGAGGTAGGTAAATTATGAAGCTCATTTTAAAAAGAAAAAAAAGAGAACCTAGCAGGCAAGGAAGAAAGACCACCTCTGTCTGGAAATCATCTGTTCTATGAAAAATGACAGTAAAATAAAGTAGGAGTTTGGCCTTCCCTGCAGAACTCTTGCTGCTGCAGTTGTATGCCAGACAGACAGGTGCAGACTTCATTAAAGACATAAAAGCCATCCCACCCTCTTGAATTTTCTGGTTTAAAAATATCACAGGTTTATTTTTTCTTTATTGCTTCTATTATTGCCTAAATTCTTGTGCTTGTGCGCGCGAGACAGCACCTGGCTTATGATGGGAGGATTGCTGCTATTTGACGTGCTTCCTAGAGGTTTTTTGTTCCCCCCATATGAAGTGTTGCTGTGAGTGTTGCTATGCCAGCTAAATAAGATGCTGTGAGGGACACTGTGCTTTGCTCTGCCTCCCAAATGGAAGAAAGTAGCGTGTATGCAGAACAACAGCAGAGGCTGTCACTGGGAATAGGTCGTTCGCAAGACATAGATTAAGGATCTGTATCCTATTAGGCTTCATAGGAGCACCAAAACTTCCTATTAACACAATATTTTGTTAAATTTGCATAACTTTGCATTTCGTCACAGGAATATAAGGCACTGATATTGACTGCTGGAAATCTGTAGGAACGCAGCAATTAAGATTCGTTGTTATCCTCGGTGGTGCATATTGGAATATGAGGTAACAAATTGTCACTTATGTTCCAGGACACCTTTGCACTATGCAGCTGCAAATTGTCACTTCCACTGTATTGAGACACTGGTGACAACAGGAGCCAATATTAATGAAACAGATGACTGGGGACGCACCCCTTTGCACTATGCTGCTGCTTCCGACATGGACCGAAAGTAAGAAAGCCTCTCTGTATTCCTTGTTTAAAGTGTTCTCCTAAATCAGTGTCATTCTATTCTTTTCATGATCCTATGTCATTTGAGCCAAAAAAATGATCCCGCTAGCAAAGGAATTTCTCTCGGATGTATGCATAACTGCACACTGAGTTGCTCTGACTATAAGCCAAATCCCCAGATAATGTGGCATTTCAGCTCTACGGTTTACCTTTGATGTAGCACACAGTTTTGCAGCCACCCCATCCTACTGAACTGTTTTCACAACATTTTGTCTTACGTTTTGCTCTGTGTGGTTTCCTCACAAGAGTAAGCTCAGAGAATTTTCTACATCTGTTTTGCAAGTCCATCAGAAGGGATGGAGTGAGAGACAGCAGGAGAGGTTTTCCCAGATGGGCTGCTGTAACAGACAAACATCTGGCCATTCTGACAGACTTTCTGGAAAAGACGGGGTAGATCTACCCATCAGTCTCTCGCTACTGTCAGAGCTGATAAAAATGCTCACCCTGTCCAAACAGGTTGCTTTTTAGAGACTTTAAAGAGAGAGAGGTCTGGGGAATATCCTTTGGCAGAATGCAAAGAGATTTTGTGAGAAAGGGGGAAAACAGCTGCAAAACTTAGAAATCCTGTGGTTAGTGACTGAAATTTCTAAGTCCCAGATAGCTGCATATTTTGGCAATCTCTTTGTTATAACATACTGTATAAAATGGGCTCAATTATCCTGTTAGTTCTCTCTTAAAACTGTTAGCGACCTGTATTTATTTTAAGTCTTCACATACTTCTCTGTCTCATTCCTTTAGACGCTAAGGAACTATTTCCTTGGTTTGTCATATAGTGAGGTCTGGTAAAAATACATCTGTCTCATTCCCAGAACAACACCACCTCAAAGCCACTGCAGGAAAACTTTGGCTTAACTTTATGGTAGAGGTTTGGATGCCATACCAGAGCCTTGGTAGCTGCTTCATCATTTGCTGTGACAATACTGATATAAAAAATGTCTTCCCTATCACCCTCAAACCTGAGGAGTGCTGGGAAGAAGGCAGCAGGATCTTCAAAGGTCTGTGCTTGGCATTACAATCAGAGTAGGCTTGTAGGAAGGCTTTCACCACTGCCTGTTTCTAATCCTGTCTTGCCAGGGTGAGTTGTTACTTGGGGTGTTGAGACTTTTGATTCTGTGTGTGTTTTTCACCTTTTGGCTCTTCGTAGATGAAGTTTCTGCATTTCAGCAAGCTTTTGGTTGACTTAAGGATGTATCTACTTCCATCATTAATTAAAAAAACAAAACCCCAAGACTTATTTTAGTCACATCCTGAGTATTGCCAGGAATATGTGGCCTTTATTTGCCTTCGTAGTCCAAACCTAAATTGATTCTGATGTGGTGATGCTGTCTTGTCATTAAATTTTCCAGTTTGAGGTGTTTTGGAAGAAGCCTTGTTACATAGATGAAATGCTATTTGCAGTCTGTGATTTTATAGGTCAGCATTGGTTTTTTTTGCTGCTGAATGGCAAAAAACTCCCAAGGTCAGGCAATCTCAGTCCAAAGAATATTCGTAATTTTTTAACTTTGGATGTGAGCAGTTAATGGGCAGCAGGGAGGATTCTTGGTTCAATGGGGTTGCCCTACTGTTTCATCTGCTTTGGTAATTGTTGTTGCTTATGGTCTTCAGAAAGTACCCTTCCCTGCAATGGAAGTCACAACAGCATTTTCATTTAAATAGATTATTGTAATTTCTGAGTATGTACTGTTTCTCCACATCATTGCTTATTCTGTTCAGGGAATCTTATTTTGGGACCTCACTGATTTGTAGTTAACTGAAACCAGATGCAGGTAGGACTTCAGCATAGTATGTGAGTACAGTTTATATGAGCTTACAACGTTAATATTCAGGGGAGTCACTTTATTAATAATGAAGTTCTCTCTGAGTCAGCAGACATCAGACAGACCCTAGGTTTGTAGAACAATCCATTATTGCTAGCACCCCCAGGAAGAATGTCAAATCTTGATGTTACAAATGGGAAATTGCATATTAAAGAAAGAACATACTGTTCTGCATTGTGCAGAATCTAGTCTGGAATTTGTGTGTTATATTGGGGTTGAAATTAGCAAACTGTCCTTCTACAAACCTTTCAAGCTACTAATCCATGATCATAGCAGTTTGTAAATGCATTCTGTGTTGGCCTCGGTGGCTAAGAAAGATCATAATTGCAAGATCCTGGTCATAAGATCACAAATCATAGTCTTCTGTCTGCCATCCATCTGGCTGGGAAGCAGAGGTGCCAAAAATGATCTGGGTATGCAGGAATATGAAGACGTTGAACTCTTGGAAGAATCTAAAGAATCTGACTGAGAGATCCACACAATGCTGGCAAGATATTTCACAGAGAGCGAGGAGAGTCAGCAACACAGCTAATGCACATTCAAGATAGACTGGGTTAGTATCAGTGATTGAAGTTTCTCTAAATCCTAAATTCTGGAGAAGAACTAGCGGGTTACTGTAGGAAGAAGCAAGCTGTGGTAATCCTGAGTTCCTCTCTGCAAAGGAAATGAAATGCACAACACTGCTGTGGGAGCAATGGAAGGATTCTAGAGAGCGATGATCAAATTGTTTCTGATAAAAAACAGAATTTTCTGTTTGTTTGGTTTTTTTTTTTTTTTT